ACAGACCAACATCTCATACCACATACCAAGATAAGGTCAAAATCGGTACATGATTTAGACATAAAGGGTAACACCACAAACAAATTAGGAGAGCAAGGAATACTTTACCTGTCAGATTTATGGAGAAGGGAAGAATTTATGACCAAACAAGAGACAGAGAATATTATGAAATGCAAAATGGATAACTGTGATTACATTAAATTGAAAAAACAAAGCCAATGCAACCAAGATTAGAAGGAAAGCAGAAATCTGGGAAAACAATTTTTACAGCCAGTGTCTTTGATAAAGGCCTCCCTCATTTCTAAAATATATAGACAACTGAGTCAAGTCATTCCCCAACTGATAAATGATCAAAGGATATGAATAGGCAGTTTTCAGATAAAGAAATGAAAGTTACTCATAGTCATACAAAAATGCTCTAAATCACTACTGACTAGAGAAATGCAAATTAAAACAACTCTGATGCACCATCTCACACCTATCAGATTGACTAATATGACAAAAAAGGAATATGATAAATGCGGGAGAAAATGTGGGAAAACTGGAACACTAATGCATTGCTGGTGGAATTGTGAACTGATCCAACCATTCTGGAGAACAATTTGGAAGTACAGCCCCAAAGGGCTATAAAACTGTGCATACCCTTTGATCCACCAACACCACTGCTAGGTCTGCATCCCAAAGAAATCATAAAAAGGGAAAAGGACCCACATGTACAAAAATATTTACAGCAGCTCTTTTTGCGATGGCAAAGAATTGGAATTTGAGGAGATGCCCATCAATTAGGGAATGGCTGAACAAGTTGTGGTATATGAATGTAATGGAATACTACTGTTCTATAAGAAATGATGAGCAGGCAGATTTCAGAAAAACCTGGAAAGTCTTACAGGAACTGATGCTGAGTGAAGTGAACAGAACCAAGAGAACATTGTACACAGTAATGGTAATACTGTGGGATGACCAACTTTGATAGACTTAGTTCTTTTCAGCAATACAATGATCTAAGACAATTCCAAAACTCACGATGGAAAACGCTATCCACATCCAGAAAAAAGAACTGTCTGAATGCATACTATTTTCTCTTTTTTTTTTCCTTCTTGCGGTTTTTCCCTTTTGTTCTGATTCTTCCTTCACAACATTACTAATGTGGAAAGATGTCTAGTAGGATTGTACATGTACAGCCTATATCAGATTGCATGCCCATCTGAGGGAGGGGGGAAGAAGAAGAAGAGGGAGGGGAAAAAACTTGGAACTCAGAATTTTATAAAAGTGAATGTTGTAATCTTTACTTGTAATTGGAAAAAATAAAATACTATTGGGGAGAAGAATATACGTTAATCTACATATGAGAAAATCTGAGACAGGACAATTCAACTATCAAACCAAAGTATTATTAATTTCATTGCAGAAATACTTTCACTAAACACGGAAAATGACAACAAATTAATGATAAATTCATAATTAAATGTTCATCAACAGAATAATTTCCTGTCCTAACCAAAGAAAGATAACTGAGGCTTGCTATAGACTTTTTAAAAGGTCAATGTCTTCCTATTTTTTTTAAATTAAGGAGTTGTCACCTCCTATCTAGACTAAAAAAAGGTGTTATGAATGATTTTTACCTTGAGAAGAAAATAAAATGCTGAAAACACCAAGCCAAAATAGCTTTATGACAAATTCTCTTCTTTTTTTAACATAAAATTCATTTTCTGATACATCAAACAAAAAATGTGAAGGGAAAGACCCTCATTTCAACCACTGTAAAAATATCTTCATTTTAACTGCTTTTCTACTTGCTTAAAATGTACAAATTTCTCTAAATTACTGCTGGACTTGAAGAGGATGAAAGAAATTTTTAAAACGTAAGCACAACCACTATAAAATCAGAGGATCAGTTAACAAAGTATGAGGCTAGATGAGAATTATAAAACAAATATAAAATATAATTCTTGTCCCAAAAGAGCTTACAATCCAGCTGGAGAAAAAACTATAACAGCAGCAAAGTTTCAAGATAGCCATTATCAAACGCTAAATTTTAATGTGGGTAATTAGTGCTGATAGAAAAAGGAGGGAAAAAAAGAAAAAAGAAAAAAAAGAAAAAGGGGAGATCAGTGAAGGTTTTGGTACTGGAGAGGGTGGGCCATGATCTAAGAGGGGAAAACTGGGTAACGCTACAGGATAGATATGCATTCTAAAAAAGGGGAGACTACGAGTAAAAGTACAGAGGTTAGGAGGGATCCTAAAAACATGGCATTGTGGTGGCATGATGAGATAAGCCTAACAAAAGTCCTGAGTATGTGATCAGGAACATAAAACCAGATTATAAATGCCCTTCAAAGCCATTCTGAGTTGTTTAGACTCTACGCAGTAGAAAACAGGGAGCTAATTAAAACCAATTGTTGGAATAGTTCAAGTAAAAAAAAATTTGTTTCAGGTCTTTTGTCCAAGTTGTATTATGCTTATCAGTATTCATGTTGGGTCTTCTCCCCACCAAGTTTTTTTTAAATTTATGCTTCCCCAGCACTTGGGACAATACCTTGCAGATGAGTACATAATAAAAGTCTACTAAAGAGAAATGAAAAACTGAGGCTATGATATGCAGATTTTTCTCTTATATAACTACTGTATAACTCTACTTGTGATAACTACTATAATTCTCTAGACCAGTTGTTCTCAAACTTTTTGGTCTCAGGATGTCTTTACACTCTTGACCAGTATTGAGACCTCCCCAAAGAGCTTTTGCTTATGTGGGTTCCATATTAAAAACTGAAATATCTTAATATTATGAAAATAATCCTGACCTCAGGGAGACCATACTTTGAAAACTGCTGTTCTAGACAATATTCTAAGCACACTAAATTGGGCTTTAATTAAACTCTATGTATTTATTCATTTGTCTCTAAATTTGTGCTGAAACTAAACCTTTTAATTTTATTACTCCCCTTGAAAATCCAAGGATACAATAACTGGAAGGCTACAGAGCCAATAGAACTACTATACTTATCCTAAAGTTTTTGAGTAAGAATGTCAGCATTTGAGCTACTATCTGTCTATTTGGGAGCAATGTTGCCAGGACACTCAAATATGTGGTTAATTTCAGACATGTTAAAAAGATCAAATTATTTTCATTCACATTGGACACTTCAAAACTGCCAATCGATATCCTTTTTAAAAAGTTATAGGTTCAATGGAGACAATCTCTTGCTAATGCCTCATATTCAATATTCTCAGGAGACTGCACTTAAATGTATATTAATGTTTTTCAAAGTAGCCATTATAAAGTTATTATTTCAGAAAATATTACACAAAAGATCCTAAAAATAATGCTTAAGGGTTAGAACTATCCCTACAACTGGTTCAAAACTTGTCTCTACATTTCTTTAATGAAAAGAATTTCCTTGTAAAGAAAATCTCTGAAAGGAATCGCTATGAACCTAAGATGATCCTATGATCACTGTGAGGTTCAATATCAAGTTCTCTCCATACCACTAAGTAACACAGCAAGGCTGCCAAACTTCAACTGCAACATGATGCAGAAATGATGTTGCATTCTTTAGTGACTTTGAGAAATTGGTTTTTATATTACCTATCCTACAAAGCAGAATACTGCAGTCTGCAACACATTAACACTTAATCACTTTGCTCTTAAAGTTATTTAATAAATTTCACAATGAGGCAAATTTCCCACCATATTAAAGGATTCTTGTCCCTCAAAATACTGAATAATCTGTAAATATTACGATTACTAAACATAACAAGGCCATTTCATTTTTCCTAATGGCATTTCATTGGCCTTCAGTGAAATGCCCATTAAAAGAATATGAGTAATTTCTACACCTAAAGAAAGAAGATCAAGAAGTGTAATTCCCAATTAACTAGAACAGGGAATGAAGTAATTAATACAGTCTATTTTATAGAGCAAGTCTAAACTACTGTAAACTAAAAATGTTCATGACTAACATCCCAAAATGTATTTTGGCAAGATATCCTCAAGAAAATATTTAATATTCTTTTTAAATTCAATCTCATAAGACAATAAAAGATGCCTCAATACACAAAACTACTAGGAAAAAAGGGATAAATTTTGACACACTATTACAATCTAATCCACAACATATTAATAGTATTGTTGCTCATGTGCTGGGTTTTATTACAAGAATTTGACAGATTTTACAACTGAAAAAAAGTACTCTAAATTTGAGATCAAGTTCAGTTTAAGAGAAGGGTTCCCATTCTGATCAGAAACACACCGGGGTCCACAAAACACAAGAGGAGCCAAGAAGCCATGTCAGTACGCGCTTTATCGGTGAAGACAAGAAGAAAATGAAATTAAACCCCCCGTTTTTCTTCTCCAATGAAAGGAAGTTGACCTTCCCTCTTTCAGGAATACTGATAAAAATGCCTCATCCCAGGGCCCTGGTCCAGGGTCTCCTCCCAGGGCGGTGTCTTGCGGGTGAAGGGGAGGGGGGGACCGGAACCGCAGCGAGGAGGAACCCGGAAGGAAGAGGCCAGAGCTCGGACAAAGCAAGACCAAGACCGGCGCTAGCAGCCGGGCATCCCTCCTTCTCTGTTCTCCCCGGGCGGCCACAGCCCCGCGCCCCCCGCCCCCCGCCCCTCCTATTCCAGGGGCTCCGGGGGGGGCCGCTGACACCGCCCCCATGCGACCCACGCAAGTCAGAAACACGCCACGGAGAAGGCCCCGGGCACTTGTCACCTAACAAGCTCCCTGCCCCCGGGGTGCCGCCCGCCCCCTCTGCGGCGCCGCGCCGTGCCTCCCGCTGGGAATGCGGCGCGGCCGGCGCCGAGCGCCCGGGCGGGGATGGAGATGAGGAGATAAGCGGGGCCCCCCGGGGAGGAGGAGGCTCTGACACCCTTAAAACTTCCGTAGGGAGAGGAACCCCGACGAGGAGGAGGGGGAGGCGGGGAAGCCAGCCCTCGGGCGGCCCGGGCGCAGACGCCGGCTCAGCGCCCGCAGCCCCCCGCCCGCCGCCGCCACTCACCGTCCTGCTCCTGCGGTGACCGCGCTCCCCGCGGGCTGACAAGGAGGGAAGGGGCTAGAGCCGCCCCGAGCCGCCGCCTAGATCCGCCGGCACGGGGGGCCGACGACCGGAGGCTTGGAAACAAAGGGCCAGCCGGCGGGGCCGCCAGTCCCCGAGCTGGGGAGCAGCCGCGAAGCCCCTCGAGGGCCCTGGGAGGGCTGTCGGGCGTCCGTCTGTCAGTCAGTCACCAGCGAGCGAGGCAGGACCGGCCGCCGCCGCCCCGACACATCCTCGCCCGGGGCCCCCTCGCCCCTGGTGCTCCCGGCCTCCGGAGGCTCTCCTGCCTGACCTGGCTCGGCCAAACGGGTCCCGAGCGGCGAGCCCAGCCCGACCCGTCCCGAACCTCCGAGACGAGCGTCCCCAGCTCTCCAGTCAGCTGCCGAAAATGGCGTCGATACCCCTCCCCTCGCTTCGTTCTCCTCCCTCCGGCCCCAGCATGCCCCGCGACAGCCTCCCCGCCCCGCCTAGCCCTACCCGATGATGTCATCGAGTCAGTCTCGGCTCCAGCGCGCAGACGCCTTTGTAGAGCAGGAGCCCGTCTCTGCTGAGCGGGGCTGACCCTGGCTGCAGGACGAGGGGTAGCTACAGGGCTGCAGGCCCGCCCTTAGCCCCCGGGACGGGGAGGTGGGGAGATACGGCCACTGGCCGATAGACTGTCCCACTTGCTAGACGCGGCCTTGGAGGCGCTTAGTGCAAGCCCCTTAGTTGACAGAGAAGGGAAGGGAGACGCCCAGAGAAGGAAAACGAGAGTCCCAGCGAGACAGTCAGCATTCGAACCCAAGTTTTCTGACTCCCAGGTCTAAGTCTCCCCAGGCCTGGCTTGGTCACGGAAGGGTGGCTGGGATCGGGAAGTGTCCCCTTATGCTCCTCTTTTCACATTGTGGTGAAGCATCAGGGTGCAATGAAAGCAGGGGACTAAGAATTAGAGGACTTGAGTTCGAATTCCACCTCTCCTAACTGTGTGATCTTGGCCAAGGCACATTCATTGTTTGCTAATTCGTGAAATGAGGCAGATGAACTAGATGACTTTCCAGTCTTCTTCCATCCGGTGTTCTAGGATGGCGAAAAAAGTATTCCAGCTACCACGCTACCCTTATGCTTTTTAGTCGCTTCATAAAAGTTGGTGAATATTAGTCTGGTGAAACACACTGGATCTCCAAGCCCCCCATCCCTGCGGTGGGTAATTGCCTCTGGCAAGAACGTCCTCCCTCTCCCACATTACCCTTTGAATTTTTATCAATTCTTTAAAAGTAAACTCATACCACCTCCTCCTGGAAGTCTTCCCTGATTGGATTTCTCCCTCTACCCTCAACCTTGCCTCCAGATCCTACCTATAGTATTTTGTGTTGCATCTTTTTAATGCACTTATGTGACAGCTGAGTATTATAGTTATCTGTTGTCATTTCCCCTTACGAAATACTGTTACGTTCCATAAAAGAGAAGGATCGGGTTCAATACAAATTTTGTAGCTCCCTCCAGTGCCTAGCACTGGGTACTTAATGGTTTTGGTTTTGGTTTTTTTTTTTAGTGAATGCATCAATCCCACCCTTCATTTAAAAGGTGGAGGACTGCGGGTGTCGGTTATCACATAAAATATGTATATTTGTGTGTATGTATGTCCGATGAGCCTGACAAAAGATTTTAAAATCACTTCAAGCAAAACTAACCAACGCAACTATTGACTGTATATGTGCAAAACCAACCAGCCAATCAACACACCAACACAGAGAGAGAAGAGAGAGACAGAGAGAGAGAAAGAGAGACAGAGAGAGAGGGAGAGAGAGAGATAGCCAATCGTGGTTGCGTTGGTTGGTTTTGCTTGAAGTGATTTTAAAATCTTTGTTATAAAGGGAAGGCTCGCTGAGTGGGAAAAGATACGAATATATTTCTATATTCGGCAATAAAGATGTAAAATAAAAGATATCAACAAAATTAAGATTGTTCGAGGCATCAATTCAAAAACGTTTGTTGAATAAATTGTTCCCCCACCCTACCTCCTTCCCCATTCCCCCTTCCAGTGCGTGCTTCTAGCAAAACTCATTTCCTGGGCTGGGCAGGGCTGCACTGCGCCTCCTCCCAGTCCCCTGGTCACCCCCCCACCCCCCCCCCCCCCCCCCCCCCCGCCCACAGTCTGTTTTTAAAGTCCACTGGTCCAGGTGACCCTGGAGCGCAGAGCCACGTGCCTTCGCAGTGCCAGGGGACAGAACTGCCTGGGCTGGCACCTACTGAGCACCGGCCTGGAGGCAGTGTCTGACGCGCACACACACGCCGCACCGAGCTCCCCACTGCTCAGGGCACCCCACCTCCATCACCGTCACCACGTGCGCACTTTCCAGGCGGCCTCGGAAAGCTGGATGTTCCCAGGCCCAGATTCTGCGCTGGCTGGGGAGAGGGCGTTTGCATCACTAAAGGGGACGTAGCGGTTGTTTGCCTGAACAGTAGAGAAAACAGCACACCAGGAAATGGAAAAAGGCATACTGCTCACTTTTGCCACCGTGACAGCCAAGAGAAAGGAGGGTTTAGAATCTGTGTCAAATGCCTCTCAAGGACCGTAGCTTGAGGCTTGTATCATTTTTTTATCTATTGAAAATCTTTTGTCCCTCAAGATTTCTCCATGCAGTGAAGACAGCTGGCTGGCATCAGTCATTAAAACCGAATTCTAAGCACTGAGTCACGACTGCAGAAGCCCTTCTAGTCCCAAAATAAAGTGGCGTTTCCATGGGTTTCATACCAACCCTGGGAACCATCACCCTTTGTTTTAAGCCGTGTGTGCAGATCTCTTTTTTTCTGAGACTGTGTTGCTTGCTCCTATTTGTCGGTGTAGGTGCCTGTGCTTGGTCATTTGTGTGTATTGTTGTATGTCTGTTGTGTAGTTTCACTGCCTTTTAGGCTGTGCCTATATCTGTTTTGTGCCTGTGTATCTGTGTGTGTAGCAGAGTCTGTGCCGTATCTATGTAGGTGTCTTTGTGTCTCCTTAGCACTAATCTGTTGCCCTAGAGACCACAGGGGTAGAGAACAAAAGAAAATCTCTGCTCTCCCCCTGGCAATTCAATGAGGAAACGAGGAAGGGAAAGCTTGGATAGAAGGCACTTCAAATACCTCTGGACAGGTCAGGGAGCGGGAAGAACTGAGGAGATGGAGGCGTGGACACCATTTTATTTAAGTAACTTGCAGTATGTGATGCTTTGCAGGATCTTTTTTTTTTACAACTCCTTTTTTGTTCTGGGGTTCCCCAGAAGTACCCACCAATGAGTATCTAACTTCAAATATAAATTTCAAGATTAATTCATACACACCCCTACCTGCAATGAGCACCTAACTTCGAATATAAATGAATTCATTCAATTCTCTACTAAAATGTCTCCCCTGTTCTATGCTAATCAGGAAATCTGGATTCCTGTTATGGTTCTACCGTGATCTTGAGGAGCTCAAACTAGAAGATAATCTCGGAGATCCCTTTCCAATCTGACAGTCCGATGTTCTGTCAGCTCTGATGTTCTGTAACTCCCGTAAGTCTCCAGGCTCTGGGTTCCCAAGGGACTAAATTCAATCTTGGGGGTAGTCTCCCCACACCATAACTTTATGCTTTATTTGGCCCCATTCAGAGCTTCTTTCTGGGAATTTCAGAATATAGCTGGTATCTAGATCTCTGTAAGTACTCAAAGTAATCATGCATAGCAAAGAGATTTTTTCCCCCACTGTGGGGGACAAAAAGGACTCACGGTAGCCTATAAACAGTCCCTCCTCTAATGTGGTCACACCTTTCTCCCTCAGGGACCTAAATAGTCCTGCAGACTCACAGAGATACCCTGTAGTTTGAACTACCTAGAGGCATCCTGGTGTGATAGAGCACTTGAATCAGAATCAGAGACTCTGAGCAAGTCACTTAACCTCTTTGCCTCAGTTTCCTCATCTGTAAAATGAGGCATTTAGATTTAATGACCTTTAAGATCTCTAAATCTATGATTCTATGACTCTCCTAGGAAGAGAAAGAAATCATTAAAAGAAATAATCTCCCAACATTTCTTTCCTAACCCCAGAGACTCATACAAGTCTCCAACCTCATAGTAAAAGTCTGAGGGTTTGAATCTCTCTCAATAGGAAAACAAATACTAGAGAGATTTTCCCCTTACTATTGGACCTATACCATCTGAATAACTCACGATAGTAGTAAAGGGTAAAGTTCTTGGGTTTTGGTCTTCCATACTGTGACAGTCATCTCTTGAGCTGTTGCCATCTCTTGAGCTAAGAGTTTCTGTAGCTGCATCTCTACAGCTGACATGGTGGGGGGGAGGGGGGCAGAGGTTAAATCAGTTTATCATTTCGTCCCTGGAGGCTGTGCAGATGCACAAGCATCCCCTCTTTCAGGTCTCATATCTATCCTCAGATCCCTCTAGATAACTCCAAAAATGGGTTCTCTTTTATAGGCACAAGACAAAGAGGTAGATCTGACCCACAATAACCCAACAGTTGCCTACTAAATCATTTCAATAACTGAAACTTGATCACTCATCTTCAATGAGATGTGAGTCAATGGAGAAGTCCCTACCCTCCACACAGGGAGGGTTCACCTCCCTGTAACTATAAATCCTTTAAAGAAGGACTTGCTTTTTGTGTTTCTTTACATGCACAGCCTTACTACAGTGCCTGTTTTAATAAATAATAAATTATTCTTTACTTGATTAATAATCCTATCCAGTTAACTCCCCTGACCAATTTTCTACAGTTCTATAATTCTAAGTCCCCTTTCAGCTCTGGAATTCTTAGACTTATGATTTTAAGGGACTTCCAAATGGTGTCATTTGATGGTCACTTGCAAGAGAATCTCTCAGAGATGCCTAGCTAGGCAAGATCCTCTCACCCACACTCAGATTGACAAAGGTACTAATTTATAACCACATTCAGCTCCTTAGCACTATAGCATCCCCTGGGGCAGTTGTTCCAGTTCAGTATTCAAAGGAATAAGTACTACTACTATAGGATCAAGGCACTCTGCATCTGAACTCCTCAACCTACAGTTTGCTGTTTCCTGAACTTGACCCTTAAAAACCCTGTTCCTGGAATACTC